AAAAAAAAAAAAAAAAAAAAAAAAAAAAAAACAGCAAAGAACAATAATTAATTCTTCAATGTTCCTCCCTCCAATGATTAAACTGTAATTTTTGCTCAGCATTAGCCAATAATTTACTATTTTATTTTTTCCCTTCAACCATAATGATATGGTATCCAAATTTTGTCTTCACTGGCGGATCTGTATAAATTGGCTTGTCAACAGTGCTTTTGGCTAACGCAAATGCAGCATCCTGAAACTCTCCAACCATTGAGCCTCGAGTCATCCAGCCAAGATCACCCTGTAATGAAGCAAACTTCTACATCAATAAATAACTAACTACTTTGCTCTCGTAAGCATTCGTTAAGAACAACCAGAACACAATCAGCGACAACACTAGTAAAACCGATACTGCTTCTACAGTACCTGTATACTTTAAAAAACTCCAGTCCATCGGTTAACAATGAACTATAAGAAACAAAACTATGAACTTACTCCTGATCTAGCCTTATCCTCGCTGTACGCTGCCGCAACTTCGTTAAACTTCATCCCACTTTTCAGTTTCTCTATTGCCTCTAGTGCCTTACTCTAAAATTCACTTGTCCTTTCATTCTTCCAGTGTACCCGACCAATAAAAGTGAACACTTTTAACAAAAAAGAAACTTCTGATAAAACTTGTCTCTTCATAGAAACACCAGTAATTTCAACTACCTCCTTAAACCCAAAAAATATGCCGCACCCTGACCTGTTTTTCACATAGAATATGCCTGACTTTCACAGCAGTACCCCCTTTCGTTTCCTTCTTCGACTTGTCAACATTGTCACTACCCCTTGAGTCCTTCTTGGACCCTCCTCCACTAGCTTTACTCTTTTGGTCCTTTTTCGGAGGCATGCACTTAATACCTGTAAACTTCCACACAAAAAATGACCGAGAGGCACTTTTTTGATATTATCTGGTTGGAAAATAAATTAACAGAAATTCTGCCACGAAACAAGATCAAGAATAATATTTCAGATGCAAACAAGAGACAACAGTAATCTCAAATATTTTTTATAATGTCACACTATTAATTTAGACAGCCTTTGGAACTTTTTACACAAGATCGAATGAAAGACATTGGAAACTATGTACAACTTTAACATTGCATTGATATTCTCCTGAGTTGATGACGTTAAAGAAAGGAGTTTATGCTGCAAGTTTGGACGCGTCTTCGTACGGTAGTGAAATACATTTTCCCTTATCTGGTCCATCATTTATACGAAGTTCCATGGAATAATTTTTGACATCAATCGACCTTAGCGTTGCCTTTCTTCCAGTATATAAGCCATTAACTATCAACATTGTCCTGCCTTCTGCAGGAATTACGGTTTCCAAGTACTGCTGATTACACTCGAGGGTAACTCCTAAAACATATATTTAGTTCCCTTAACAAACAAGAAGTGGCATAAAAGCTTTAATCTACATGTTCAAAAAATAGCAGTAAATTATAGCACTTAACCTTCAACAGAAAGTTTAGCAGTATAATCGTCAACCAGTGAGTCGACAACACCTTTAGCTTTATAAAACTTGTCGCCAAACTTTTTTGTTATAATCTGAAACAAATTAAAGATCAGGAACCATTAGTCAGCTTCAATAAAGAATTGAAAGTGTACTTCAACTTACCTTGACAACAATACCCTCACAAAGCCAATGATCCTTCCTCATTTTCTTCTCCTTCTTTTTCAATTCCATTTCCATTATTTCTTCTAAAGCCCGTTTCTTCTTACTAGATTCTGACTCTTTTTTCTCGCGTGAGCCATCGACTGATTCACGGTCTCTTTGTGAGCCTTGCAATATTCAAAACAGTTATGAAAGACAAAAAAGTGCACAAACAGTATTTCCCACAATCAACAAATTTAAAAAAGAAATATCTCTGTTTTGGTTCATAAAAATACTTTTACTCAGCTAGTTCATTGAGAAAACTACTTCTGTCGACTGAAACCTGCCACAGTCAAATTCACCTTTTTCGGTTTTTACATGATATGTTTCGCAAGATGGGCCCGGCTCACCAAGTTCTTTTTTCACCTTACCTTGCAGCAGTGAATTTGGAGCAGCAAGTCGAATGCCAAGCTCCTAAAAGTAACAAATTTCCGTACAAATAAAGCCAAAAAAGAACAACTGTGGTCGGAAGAAACGCCAGAAGAATTTAACGATTAAAATCGACATTTCAAAACATAAACAAAACAAATGCTTTACTTTCACTGACGGTTTCTTCATCCCTAGCGCGAAAACGACCTTTTCGCCATCAGAATCCCTTAACAATTCTGTCGGCACGCTTCTGTTCGTTTCCTCTTCACCTAACCGCTCTTTAGCTCTAAAACAAAAAAAATTGAAAGTAATTGAAAAACTTTTAGTTAAGAGGAACTTACAACCGTTAGTGACCAAAAGAAAAATGTTGGCTATGAACAAAAGGTGTACTTTTCAACTTGCTTCTCTAACATTTCTTGCAACCGTTGTTCATCATCATATTGGACCTTCACTTTGTGAGCAGCCTCCTGTTTTCTCAATTCTTCCTCTTGATCAATCCAAGCAATAAACCATCCTAAACACTAAGCAATAAAAAATAGTTATATTACTTCTTCTACTCGAAATATATTTACTTTAAATGAACCTTTTTCAGTCTGGTCTATTTTGCATTTTCCAGATGAACCAAGATATTGCACGAAATTTGTCAATGTATGCCAAATAGTAGAATTCATGTGAACATGCATTTTGTCTCTAATATATTCTTGATAAACCTCATTTGCTCGTACTCGTTTTGTTCCGAAAGTGCTACGTAGAACCTGTAAAGTCTCTTCATACAATGGTACTTCATTTTGAGTCCTTAAAATGAACCGAAAAAAAAGAAACTAAAAGACTACAAAAGTAAGAACTAGCTCAGGCGTTTCAAAAGTACACAACAACAATGTACAGATCTGAACCAGCAGAAGATACCTTCAAGAAATTTTGTTCAAAATTGTGGCTATAATCTCTGAGATAATTATTAGGATTTTCAGCAAAGAGCAAAAGCTGACGTTGATGAGATTCGCTGGTTAAATGACATTTAAACCCGTTCTGATCACGACACTGTTTCTGACACATTTGACAAAACCTAAAATCTCAGTTAAAGTTAAAAAAACTCTACAATAACTGTAAGGCACAGATACAACATTTTCAAGAAAGAATAACAATTTCTCCACTTTAAATTTTTACAAAAATATAATTAGTTTATCCAGAATTAAACGCAAACTTTAACCGAGCTCACACTGTGCAATCGTTTCTTACTCAATATTCTTGGCTAAAACTTTGGTAGAGTGGTAATGTTAGCTATAAATTTCACTTGCATAATGTAAAAGGTGAGAAAACTTGCCAGCGAAGTTTCTGTAGCCCTTTGGATTTGCAACGATTTGCAATTTCTTTTGGCGTTCCTTTTTCATACTTTCCCATTTTAGAACTGAAATACTGCAGTTTTTAGGCCATTGATTACACACGATCAATTGACAACTCGAATGGAATTAGAAATGTATATAAAACAGAAAGATCTTTACAATTACAAGTACTAGAACTGTCAGTAAAAAGCACAAACCGAAATAACAGAGTTTAATAATCCGTCTCTAAAGTAAGGCTTTAATTTTGATAAGAGAATGATTGAATAAAATATGAGCCGCAAATGCAAAAATCTTAATAAATTTTACTCTGCATCTTACAGCACTAGTCAAAGCACAGTCGCTTCTTTAACTAATAGCTACCAACAATTCGCAGAGGGCGAAACACTTGCGTAGCTTTCATTGAATTATGCTGTAGACATAACGTAACCACTCAATGGTTTTTTCATTTTGGACAAAATTTTCAGTCAAACAGAAAAAGCTTCTTGTTTTTTTGTTTCCTGTTTGGCAAAGAACTGCGAGGACGTTTGAATAATATAAGTTACTTATAATTTTAAGTACAGATGTCCAACAGTTCGAATCTCTAGCGCTTTGAGATGAACATGGATAATCCATTATATAACAACTATTAATACACAAAGTCGAGATGAACTACTAGCAACAGAACTGTTCTGGTTACTTTAGCTGATGCATACATTCAAGAAAACTCCCTTAACCACTTATACTTGAATGCTAATGGTAAACCTGCAGAAATTAAAGACTGAAAAAATAAAAACCTAGCAGTTCTCAACTATTGTAAAATGTGTGACTTCTGCAGTAAAAACAAGCATAAACGACTCTGATTTGACTTATGAATTAGGACAACTTCATTAAGAAGTTACTGCAGTAAAAAAAAAAGAAAAGAAACTGCAACAATTTTGGAAAAGCAAAAATTTGTGACTGTGCAACAAACATCAAACTTTCACTTTCCGTTTCTCTATTCTTGAAGAATAGGGCTGCAAATCGTGTAAAATTTCTATAGTCTTGAGGCGAATTTTTTTTTTGAATTCACACATTAAAGTTGCCTTTGACATTGAAAAAATTCCTTAAGATATAAAACTTTGATTATCACAAGAAAAAATGTCTCTTGCATTGTGCATTTCCGTTATCCCATTTGGTTTTCTTTTATGCTAAATGTAGGAGGTAAGGCTGATGCGTTTTGTACAGTCAGTGTGTTTTGGTATAAGCCTTACAGTATCAAGTAAACTGCCCAAGTTTTTCATTTGTATATGGACGCTTTTTTTCTTTTTTGCTGTAATAGATAAATAAATGCATATGAGATAGATTTCAGTACCACTCTTTTACAGATGTGAAGTTCTCGTTTTTTGTTAGCTCCACATTTTCTTATGCCGCAGCATGACGTTGATGCAGTTAATCAGTTTGCGAAGAGCGGCGATATTTGTAGCAGGGATTGGCATTAGCACATTTATTATACATTTGCTTATTAAAAGGTAAATATTTTTGAGCAAGTTTTTTGGATTATTTGTTTGCGTTTTTTTTTCTGCTTTTTTCTTATTAATCTCGTCAGTAAACTTTTTTAAAAATATAATTCAACCTTATTTGTACATGACAGGCGAACAAGGCGGAAAAGTTCTGAAGAAAATGACAGTGTTTCTGAAAATTTACCAACTGGCATTAAGCAAGGTATAATTAACTGGTGATCATACTGCTTAATTTTTCATTTCGAAGAAGATTAAAAGTTTCAGAGTTTTGTAATTGTGAAATAGTTATGCTATTCCTTCTTGGATTTCTTATCTATGAATTGGATTGCTGTTACTCTTCGTTATGCAGGGGGACCTCGACTACGGTTCACGCGAACACCATCTGGAAGTGACAAATTTGGTGTTTCTCGCAAAATATCGTTTAGGACTACCAATTATTCCTCATCTATGAATGAACTTCTTTTCAGTAAGTTTAACTCTTTGTCATTTTGTTAATTCATTTTCCTTTCTCTAAGACATTTTGATAAACCTTTGTCTATAATATTTGCTATTTTTAATAAAATCGCTTAATTAAGATCTTAATCGAGCGCATGTAGAAGCAGTTTTTTCTTATAATTCGTTTATTATTCAAAAAATTTTTCATCTAGATGATGACTTCAAGGACCGAATAAATCTATTAGGCCATTTATAGGTACTTGAGCTGTTCATTTCAGGTATTGAAACTCTACAAGATGTGATTCGGAGCATTGAGAAAACGTTATCTGCATTTGAACTTGTTCGAAATAACTCTGAGAAGGATAAAGGGAAAGCTGAACTGTTGTCTTCAGTTATTGATCGGTTGAAGGTAGTTGAAACTGACTTAAATCGGGTTTCAGCTGAAGAGGGTTTTGATAAGCTTTCAAGCGTGCCTCTAGATGGTAATAAATTTTATTGACTAGACGGTTACTATATAAGTGAAGATGAGGAAGAAAGACACTTTTCATTTATCCGTTCGGCATATTTATTGGTTCGGTTTCAAGAAAGGCTGTAAGTCTTTACTGTACGGTTAGGTTGTTGAACAGCTAGCTTATATCTGCTCTTTTTTTGGTACTTTGTTTTGGTTTTTTTCTATCGCTTTCCTATATTCTGATTGTTAGTTAAATAGCTGAAGTGGAAAGTTTTCTTTGAATTTTTTATAACTGTTTCGCTTTCCATTCTTAGTTTTATATGTACGTTTTCCTAGAAGGGGGGTAAATTAAGTTTTTTATTATCAGTGGTGGAAAAGTTGTTCCCGAATTGTAAGCGGTTCTTTTAAAGATAGGAATGAATGATAATTGTAACTTAGACAAGACGAGAAATCTCTTTAATTTTTCTCAATTACTCTTACTTATTAGTAAAAGACGAAATTGTTCAAAGTGGTTTTTTCCTTTTCGTGTATTGGTTGTGAGTATTGAGACCAGGACTAAGAATTTTTCGAAGATTTCGTTTTTACTGCGTAGAGGTCGCCTCTGGATAGTTGTGCAAAGTGTCTTTTTTCCGTATGCTTTGAGAATGGATATCGACTTTTTTTGGCGGGTGTTTTATTTCCTTTAATTACTGCATTTTAATCCTGTTTCAGTCTCATCTGTTCGATCAGGAGCACTATCAGTACTCTCTGATGACACGTTTATGTCTGCATTGGATGAGTTTGTATGTTACATTATCTCGTTTTGTAACGGTAGTTATAATGTGATTTTAAAAAAATCTTACTCGCGAATTACAAATTGATCATCTGTTGTCGTATTTTGTTTTAAATGTTATATTTAAGCAAACCAACTTGGATGACGCTGATGTCCTGATGCGTGAACCGATTAATCTTGAGAAAGATGCTTTAGCTTTTTACCGTGAGGGTATGTCAGCAGCACTCGCAGGCAGTGTCGTTACACGGAAGTGTCGGTAAGCAGATGGAAATATTTACTGGATTTTTTTCTATTGTATCTTTCGTTTGTCTAAAATAAAATATTTTTTAGACTTGACTTTTGCCAGTGTGAAGACGAACTTGATTTTAGAGCCAAAGTCTGGTGTTTAAGAAAGGGATTTTCTGTAGGTTTTTCACTTTATGGCTGTTTGATATAGATGGCGGTATATGCTTATTTGATTTTTTTTCCAACTTAAAAGTTCTTATTTGATGTTTTTTTGGTTAGTTCTCTCTTCGCTGAAAACCTGCTTATTTTTCAGCTGCAATACAGTGAGTTTGCTTGTAGTTGATGTAATCCTTTTTTGTGCTTCTCAAGTATTGTTATTTCAGAATATATTGTCAAATGAACATAATCGACTGTGGTTAACTCAGTCAGCGCGTAAATTTTTTGCTGATTTATTGCGTCACGCGAAAAAGGATCCTGTTCCTTTTTTTAAAGCTTACGACGAAATGACTAATTTCCTTAATGATAGTAATAATTTGGAGTTGGTAGAAACGGAACTGAAACAAAGGAAGGTTTGCCACTGCATTTTATTTATTCATTTAATTAACAGTAAACTTGCGAAGTTTTTTAGTATTTTTGTCAGGCCCATTTAAGCGTCAGAACTACATCTCCAGCTTTGATTTAACGCTTATTTTCTCTAAAATAATCGTTATTTGCAGGTTGCGGAGTTGGGATTCTGGGACGTAGTCCTAGATTTCATTTTAATTGACTCGTTCGAAGATCTGGCTCGACCTCCGTCAGCTGTTCTGGCTGTTACTAGAAATATGTTTCTAAGTCAGTCGATGAAGGAGTCTACTCTTTCTACGTTAATATGGTCTATGTTACAGGCTAAGAGAGCAAGGTTACCGGTGAGTCAAAAGTTTTTTGGGTTGTCATCTGCAAAACATTAGCTTATATTAGTGGGCAATTTGATCACTTTAATTGTTATTGTGATCTGTTGAAGGGTTTCTAACTGTTTATTGGTAAATGGATTTGAATTCCTGACCTATTTTTGTTCGTTGTCATCAAAATTATGTTTGATTTTCTTATTATTCGCTCCAATATTAATTGTTCTTTCTTCATATTAAACCCTGATGTGCGACAGTTTTATGGTTTAGATCCGAAATGGCTTTATTTCTCATTTTTACGATATATCTGAAGTAGTTTCTCCTACAATTACGCTTGGTTTCCTTGGAACTGATGAACATATGAGGGAATTATGCGATTATTTCAAGGTTGGAAGCTTTTGTTATTTCGGCTCTGGATTTAAGCTTCTTTGATTTATTTGGATTTTTTTGGGCTTGGCAAAC